TAAGGACTAAAATAAAATAACCATATACACAGAAGACTAAACAATAACTAAACCAAATATCCAGCAGTGACTAAAATAAAGAAATTACAAATGTCATGGCCAAATCAGGATATCAATGAAAATGAACAATACACTAAAATAGTGACTAAAATGGAATAACTAAAAATATCATTACCATATTCAAGTAATCACAGAAATATGTAAGATAAGTGACTAAAATAAAATTATTACAAATATGGTGACCCAATTCGAATAACGCAAAGATCATAATATACATGGAAACAATGATCAAATTGAAATATTTGAAAATATTGAAGCCGGAATCAAATATAGACGAAAATGATATAAAACATGAATAGTGACCAATATATAACAGTGAAAAGATAAAAGCTCAAACTCAAATAAAATGAAACTTCATTTAATGACTAAATAATATGGTTACAAAGCATCAAGGACCAAAAGTGACATTAGACCCTAAAATTTAAAAACACGGGGGAGAACTATCAGAAGATGAGGGACTGAAACCAACAATATCCCTTTTTTCTCAAAACACGTAGCCCCAACCCTGTTCAGAACGACGTCGCTCGGCGTTTGTAACATAACCCACTTAAAGGGTTATTTGAAAACCCTAACCCATTTCAACCCTCAGCCGATCTCCCTTTCTCCTCACTCAAAACAGAGAGCCGAAAAGGCTCTCAACCTTTCTCACTTCTCATCCCTTCTCTTTCCATCCTCCACCGAGGGTGAAAACCCCTAGCTTCCCCGGCCACCGTAAATCAATGGCCATGGGGAGCAGAACGCCTCAGACCCCTCGCATCTCTTCTCTCATTCACGACAGGCCCCTAGCCTACTTAAAACCCAAAGAACCCCATTATTTCAAGCCCTAACAGAACCTAGAACAAAGGAAAGACTTTACCTTCAAGGGTGGTTCCTCCTAGCTCCGACGAGGTCACTAAGGGCTGGATCTACAAGGTAAGCAAATTTTGGTTTCCTTTCCTCTCTCCCTTTCCTCTTCGTTTATTTTTAACCCCCCCCTTTTTCGTCAAATCTCTTTTTTTTTTAAATGTTCTCTGTTTTTTTTATCACCGACCGTTCTCCATTTTCTCTTTTTTGGTCTTTTATGTTTGCTTGCATGTGGATTTCTGGTGAGATGATGATGATATCTAGGTAGATAGGATTTGATTTCTCTGATTTGGGTGAAGAAAATCCAGATTTTTCGGGATTTTCGGGTGTTATTTTAATGGGTTTTTAGATTTGGGGTAAGTTTAGGCCACTGTTCTTTGATTTGGTTACTGTTTTTACAGGAACCGGTCACTGTTTGATGGATGGACTCCTCACAGCTCCGATGACAGCGGCGGTGAGGGAAGCAGTCAGCTTGAGCGGCTGGGAAATTGAAGGCCAAACGGCTGTGGCGGCTCTCTTGGTTTAGGGTTTTAGAAACCCTAAAGTTTTAGGGTTTAGATTATATACTGGATTGGGCCAGTGATTTGGGTTCCAGTGGGCTTCTGGTTTGGGTTGTTGGGCTCTGGGATTGGGCCTTTGTAATCTGAATTGGGCTTCTAAGCCTGCAAAAGTGTAATATGTAAAATTAATAATAATAATAATAATAGTTAATAATAATTAATAATAATAATATAATAAAAAAATAATAATAAAAAAATATAAAAGACCCGGACAAAAACGGGTGTCTACAATAGCAATTTTCAAACTCAAGTTACTAATACATGCCTAACTGAAAATGTTAAAAGTTCACACATAAAATCCACATAATACAACGTTTGCATTTAAAAATCACCTAAGTTAATAGTCCCAAAAGGTGAAGCCGGTTGTGATTGGGATTTTAAAGATGATTGCGAAACGATCTTTGCTTGATTTGTTAACTTTTAGTTGATAGCAATCTTCCACACATTTCGTATACAAAGCTATCTTCAAGTCTTCCTTTGTATCAAAACAATCATCTTTCTTGATACGAATAATTTTTGTGTAACAATCAACTGCTATCTTTACCAACTCTTCTTCCGGTATCTGAAGTAATTCTGGCATATTCCAGTTATACTCCCGTGGCATTTTCTTCGGGGACTTTTCTTTGGGGATTTCTTCTTCTTCTTTTTCTTCTTCAGTGTTATATGAATTACAGAATGGATGTTCAACATGTTCATTTACAGTCGTAACTTCCTCCTCATTAACATCAACAACATCTTCCTCGGCAACGACTGTTTCATCATCAAAATTCGGGTATTGACCAATATCAAAATCATACACGGAGGGTCTGTTTCTTCTTCTGAAAAATCATCAAAATCCGAGTATTGACCAAGATCAAAGTCCAGGTATTGACCAAGATCAAATTTCGAATACTGACTAGTACTCACAATTTTTTCTGTTGGCTCATCATCGTCTAACTGGTCAATACGAAAACCGGAATTTGGTGCTGAAAGTTGATTGGGATTTGGATTAGGGAAAGGTTGTGGGTTTTGAGATTATGTTTGATATTGGAAATGTGGTGAAACAATATTTGCTTGGTGATGAAATTGTGGTGGAATCATTAAATTTTGAGCACCATAAACTGGGGTTGAAAAACTTAGTTGATTACTACCCGCTACTCACCCAACTTCACTACTTCTAGGTTTAACAACATACAATGTAACATCATCACTTGAAACACTAATGTAAGAAATGAATCGTTCAACATCTTCATTATCGGTTAGCAAATAAACTTTACCATTTCTCTGATAAGATAGCCTAAATCCACTTAGGGGCTCTAAATTCAATTTATTTGCAACACGTAACATTAGAGTTTCATAAGTTAACTTTTTTAATGACAGTTTTAGTTGAAGATTCATGGGTAAAGGCATATATTGTAAAACACCATGAACATTCTCCCATGACCCTCCGAAACACAAATCTATCCAAACATGGTCAACATTAGATGATTTCATTATTGTAAATTAATTTACTAAACAAACGAGCTGCGAAATTAAAACTTGTTGCCGGATGGGAAGGATGTCGTTGGATATAGGAACGGATGTCGCCGGAGAGAGTGATAGATGAAGATGGAATGAGTTGCGATTTAGGGATTTAGGTTATGAGTTGATGCTGCTGCGTAGTTATATACCCAAAACATTTGTGTTGCGAAATTAAAACCTGTTGCGAATTCAGAAATCGAGTTACGAATTTGAAATTCAGTATTGCGATAGTCAGAATCTCGTTGCGATTTACTAAATCGCAACGCAATTAATTGCGATTTACGTATTCGCATTGCGAATTAGGAAAATCGCAACGCGAATTTGGGAAATCGTAATGCGATAGTCAGAATCGCGTTGCGAATCTGGAAACTGATTTGCGATACCGGAGATCGCGGTGCGAATTATCGATCGCATTGCGATTTAGTTGGTCATTTTGGCAAATCCAAAAAAAGTTGGTTAAAATCGTATATTATAAGGCATTTTTGGTCACTGAGGTTATTTTCTCTAATTATAAATATCTTCTTAAATTTTCAATTCGATGCAATTTAATCTTGTATACATTCTAATTACTTTTAATATATATATATATATATATATATATATAACTATATATGTATAAAATATATAAAATATATAGTTTATAAATTATATTAATATAGTATATATGTATGTTAACTAATATGAGTAATCTATAGATTATATATATAGAGAGAGAAAGAGAAACACTATGCATAAACTATATAAAGTAATAAAGTATATAGTTTATAGAAACCCTAAACTTTATACACTATATATGTATAGACAGTTGATAATTCATATATAGTTTATAACTTTATATAAACAATAGTTTATATAAATTATATATGTAGCATTAACCTATAGTATATAAACAATAGTCAATATATGTAACCTATAGTATATGTATACATGTAAACTATATATGTAACTTATATTACATGTATGTATAAACTATGTATAGTATATATAAAATATATGTATAAAGTAAATTACTTATATAGTTTATATAAACACTATGCATAAACTATATAAAATAATAAAATATATAGTTTATATAAATCCTGAAACCCTAAACTCTAAACAATATGCATAAACCCTAAACATTAAAATATAAACCCTAAATCATAAAACCTAAACTATAAATAAAAAACCCTAAACTAACCCTAAACATATGTATAAACCCTAAATCATAAATCATAAACATTAAAATATAAACCCTAAATCATAAAACCTAAACCATAAATCAAAAACCCTAAACCCTAAACATTATGCATAAACAATAGTTAATATATGTAACCTATAATATATGTATACATGTAAACTATATATGTAACTTATAGTACATGTATGTATAAACTATGTATACTATATATAAACTATATATATATAACCTATAGTATATGTATATATACAATCTATTTATATGTTATATAAACTATATATGTAACTTATAGTTTATAAACAATAGTTTATATTAGTGTACTATATAGTTTATACTTTATAACCTATAGTATATAATTTATAAACTATAGTTTATATTAATGTTAATTATCTTAACTATAATTTATATTAATATAGTATATAGTTTATAAACTACACTATATTAATGTTAATTATATTAACTATAGTTTATAAACTATACTATATAACTTATAACATATAGTTTATATTAATATTAATTTTATAGACTATATTTTATATTAATATTAATTACAAATTATAAACTATATTAATATAAGTTAATATTAATATTAATATTAATTAAATTAATATTAATTATAATATATAATTATTTTTATATTAATTATAATATATAATTATTATAATATTAATTATAAATACTCTATTAATATAAATTATATAAGGCGGTGACGCCAAATAACCAAACAAGAATTGTCATTTCCCTCCTATTTTTATTTTTCTTCTGCTCTTAATTATTTCCCTCTCTCCAAACAACCTATATAAGACGATGACGCCAAATAATCAAACCATAATTGTCATTTCCCTCATATTTTTTTTTTCTTCTGCTATTAATTGTTTCTCTTTCTCCAAACAACCCAATCTACCAAAGCCTAGGAAGAGAGTCGACGCTGCTTCAACCGACGCTTCTACAGCCTCTCTTGTCCGCGCCAAAGATGGAAGTGCTTTTGTCAAATGGTAATCTCATTCACCCTCAACCTAGGCTTTTGTTTCGATTTCCTTTCTGGGTTTTTGCATCATTTTGAAAATTTGAGTGACAAAGTTGTCTGTATCATGGCTGATTTGCATGGTTGGACTTTAGAAATGCTGAATCTTTATGGTTGTAAGATCAGCGATGCTAGTTTGGGTGCGATTGCAGATAACTGTCAATTGCTCAATGACCTTGATGTCTCCGGGTGTGCTATCACTGATTCCGGAATTGCATCTCTAGCTCGTTCTAATCAGATCAATCTGCAGATCCTTTTTGTGTCTGGTTGCTCTAAGGTCTCCGACAGAAGTTTGCCATTACTTGGAAAATTGGGTGAGACCCTAATCAGTTCAATCTGCAGATTCTAATCAGGAAATGGTATTTTTTTTTTTTTTTTGTAGAATGCAGAATCTGCATCGCTCATGGAACTTGTAGGTTCTGGTAACCATGTCTTATAGTAGTATGGTTCTGAAGTTTTCTTTCTGTAATGTCTAATTACATTTCAATTAGGTATCATCTAAACTTCAATAACATTTATAGGGGTCATACCTTTAAAAAAACATTGATAGAGGTCATTGTTAAACATGTATTTGAGAATATAAATATTAGCAGTAATTAGATATTAAGGGCCCAACTTGCATGATGATTGTTTGATGTTTTTCTTGAAGTGTTCAATACCTGTTGTAAGTGAATTAATGAATTGTCCATTCTTGGCTAAAAGCTTTTAGTGGACCGTACTGCTTGAACTTGAGGATAATAAAACTCAGGGAATGTGCAACAGGACAAACTAGTCAAATGTAACAGGAAATTTGCTTCTATTCTGAGTTATTATGCTTCTAATTATATCTTGTGATGTGTTCAGATTGAATATGGCGAGACTGATGCATGGTTATCTATGGAACTAATGTTTCATCTGATTGTTCTTCCCCTTACCCGCCAGCTGACCAATATCAGTGGTAATCTATGGGGAAAGACTCTCCAGGAGAGTACCACTTGATTCCCTGTGTGCATTTGTTTCAATATCAGTTCATTGACTTGACATAAAAACGTTCCTTTTTAGGGTGCTAGGGCACAAAGAGTAGAGTATCTTTTGTTGCACGCATTTCATGCAAAAAAGTATATTGTCCCAGACAAGTTTTCACCTCACACTAAGGAAACAAAAGTTTTGAAAAGGAGAATAACTCATGGTGTTGAGGATGGGAATAGGGATGATGTGAATCTTGAAGAGGAAGCTCATAACGATCGAGGAAAAGACAAAAAGGGTCCTGCCTATGCAGGTGAATTGGTTTTGGAGCCAAAAAGAGGACTGTATGACAAATATGTATTGTTACTGGATTTCAATAGCCTTTACCCATCCATAATTCAGGTTAAAATAACCACCTCATGTCTCTTATCTTTACAATCAGATTTTTTTGCCTCTTGTTCAAGGTTGTGGTCTTTTATGCTGTTGTATATTTTTCTAATTAGTATGAGCTACTAATTTGGTCCAACAGGAATACAATATATGCTTCACAACAGTTGAAAGATTTCCTGATGGATTAGTTCCTTGTTTGCCCTCTAGTAAAACAGTTGGGGTTCTACCTGAGGTATAATCTCCTCCTGGTTTTGCTTGATTTGAACAGCTGAATTTGCCAAGTTCTGTCGAAACTTTATTACAATCTGCTTCTTTATTTGTGTTATAGCTGTCCATATAGTTCTTTAAGTAAATGCTCCAATTGTCTGGAAGTGTGAATCCCCAATATAAATGCTCTAAGTTTAATGAGGATTGTTGCCTTTGCCTTTTAGACATTTTAACTGCATTGATGTTTGGATTTCTTCATAAGTTCACTTGTAAAGTGTCATGACCCTATGAAGGAGCACATGTGAACTTTTAATTGATACCTCGCTGTCGATTAGGTTACACCATCAATTTGTGAGGTCTTTTCTTGTGGATAAAATTGGTAGACTCGGTGTTATATGTGTTTGTATAGATAGGAATTGGTAGAACAGTGAGAACTCTTTGATCTAATTCTAATATTATGAAAGTTTTACATCAAAAATTCCTGTCGTTTACTTTTTTTTACAGTATCACATGTGGTAGTATAGAAAGTGGGCATTAAAAGGTGTATACTCTCTATTTTTCATCACTTTTCCAACTATAAATCATCCTTCAAATCTTTCACTTTTCTTCGTCTTCAATCTCTTGTTCCTTACAGTTTTCTCTCTACAAGATAAGCTAAAATCAAAATGAACTTGGGTTAGTCATTTAGTCTCCCAGTTTCATTCACATTTTTGAAGTTAGGTTATGGGTTGTGGGCCTTTTCCTTATAGTTTTTACTTTATTTTTCTAATTTAGAGGCTCAAGTTATTTTATATAATATTATTTTTTCTTTATATAAATTAAACTATATAATTTATATAAATTAAACTATATTAATTTTCCTTTACATTATTAATAATGTTTTATCTAATTTACATTTAAATAATTTTATTAATTTTATTAAATAATTTTATATAATAGGTCTATTTATTAATATAATTATAATAATAAATATTTTATTATAACATTTAAAAAGTAATCATATTAATATTTTAATTACTTCATAAGCTAAAAAAGTCATAATTTTATTAAAATCTTATAATTTTGTCCATGGTAATATATAAGTCAGGTATCAGATCAGATCATTAACAAGTCAGATCATTTACAGGTCAGGTTAAAAACAGGTCAGATTAAAAACATGTCAAGTTAAAAACATGTCAGGTTCATAACAGGTCAGGTTGAAATAGGTCGGGTAATACTAGTTATTTATTAGGTCAATCTCGGGTTCGGGTTCATATCAGTCGGATGCAGTTCGGGTTCGGGTATTATATTTTCGGTTCAATTCGGGTTCAGGTCGTTCTCAGATTAGATGTAGGTCGGGTTCGGATCCACAATTTTCAGGTCCATACCAATTCCGACTCGAGTCGGTTTCGGATTGCCACAATGTAGGTCAAAAACAGTTTTGACTCGGGTCGGTTTCAGTCAGTTTTGCAAATCGGGTCAACTTTTTACAGCCCTAATTAGAATTATGTGCCATAAACATGACAAAATAGTGGACACGTTTTAGAAACCCTTTTCTTTATCAATAAAAAATTGCAAAAAGCTTATCTTTTAAATAAAGAAACATTTTAATGCATCATCACTCAACAACTTTTAATTTAAATAATCGTTATTTTAAAACATATTGAGATATGCCAATTCAAAAAGCAGATTAAAATTTTAATTTAAAACTTTAACTCTTAAATTCTTAAATAATAATTCATATTAAAATATAATCTTTCAAACATTTTTCATTAAATGACTGGCAATAAAATTTATATATACACATTATCGTCATTGTTTGAATGGTTCATATTTATATAATTTTGTGTTTTCAATTTGTATTGTAAATGTTTTATTTTTTATATAATTTTTTTAAATAATTTTATTTTTAATTAATTAATTTTAATTCTTTTAATTGTTGTTAATGATAAAACCATTTTAGTTATAAATAAAAGGAAGAAATATTTTTTTTATAAAATTAGGATTTCTTGTAATACAAGTAGAGGTTTATATATATATATATATATATATATATATATAAGCGGCTTAAAACTATTTTATATTCCCTTAGGCCTTTTTCTTCTTATTTGATTTAAAACCCCTGCGCTTCCTGATTTTTCCACTCACATGCTCCTCATCCCACCTCCATGTCGTACACCGCTAAACGTGGAATCGTTTCCTTTCTTCTCTTCCTCCTCCTCTCTCCACCGCCTTCCGCCGCACAACCCACCACCCCATATAGCAAGAATTCCCCTCACGAGAGTTTCAGCCCCTCCTTGACCGTGATCCTCGTCGTTTTGATTGCCGCTTTGTTTCTCATCTGTCTTTTCTATATTTACGTTCGGAACTGCTCCAACAACATTAACGGAAGCAGCGTCAACCCTGTTAACGGCAGAGCCGGCAGTTCGTGGCGTGGGATGCGTTGACTTGAAGCGTCGGTGATCGAGACTTTCCCAATCATGGTTTACTCCGAAGTTAAGGGTCATAAGATTGGCAAAGGAGCTCTCGAGTGCGCGGTTTGTTTGAATGAATACGAAGGAGACGAAACGCCGCGTCTAATACCTAAATGCGATCATGTTTTTCATACTGAATGTATCGACGCTTGGTTGGTTTCTCACACTACTTGTCCCGTCTGTAGAGCTAATCTCGCTCCTCAAACAGATGAGCCTGTAGTGAGTCGACCCACTGAGTTGAATAACATCGACATAGACCTCGAGGCTCAAAACGTCCGCAGTGACTCAGAACCGGAAGAAGAAAGGGGGATAAACAATAACAACAATGTCAACAGAGACGTAGAAGCTCAAGTTGCTCCAGAGGTTGGAGTAATTGGTCTGATTCGAACTCTAACATGGAACCGTACACGTGGATCAATATCGACCAGTACGGGTAAACTTCTCTTCCCAGGATCTCACTCTACCGGTCACTCTATGATCCAGCAGGGTGAAAATACTGATCGATTCACTCTACGATACCTCTCTTCCAACGTCATTGATTTACATGGTGTATAGGGCAATCATTTTATTTTGTTTTTGGTATAATCACATGTATTTAATCTATTAATTAATTAATCTAAATTAACTAACTGGTTATTAATATAAAAACCAACGTAATTAATATTAAGTTTAAGTTGTTTTTTCGTCGTTCTTTCGATGATCAGGTTCTTAATCTTTTACAATGATTTTCATGAAAAGTAAAAAAGTTATTTTCCATTAAAACTATCGATATTACGACCCTCATGGTTCAGAAGTTGAATATGTAGGGTTTTAAAGAGCTGGTGCCTTCAGCAAGTTACTCTGTTCTTGTTGCTCTCTGTTTTTATTTGTTTTATTGTATTTTTTTAACTCGGCTGCCTGAAACCTTTGGCAGCGGTTGATTTCAGGCCTTCGTTACGAATGCTTGTTTTTTGGACTGCTATCCCCTTGATTCATTTAATGCATTCTAATATTCTCTCTCTCTTGATAAAAAAAAATATTTCAATTCATTAAACTGTTCTTAACTTGACAAATTGAACTAATTTAATATTTAAGACAAATACTGAGTTAAACCGTAAAATAAAAGCAATTATGGAATAGAATTACACTTTTGGAAGGTAAAACCAATCGATACGTGCACGAAGTCGAATAACTAGTATATTTCTAGGGTGGGCAAAATTCGATCCTACTTGAAAAATCAATTTTTTTCGAGTCGAGTTATTTAAGGTAACTCAAAGTATAAATTCGGTTTTCAAGTTCGAGTCGAGTTGAAATTTTGATTTTTCGAGTTACTCGAAAAATCAAAAATTTGATATACTACTTTGACAGTTTTACGATTTAGTTCATGATTTCATGATTTCTTCAATTTCTCCTTCATTTTAAGTCTTATCTTTTTTTATCAAATTTAAACCACATGCTCTAAACCATAGAAGAATACCTATGTACTCTTAATTCCTCTTTTTGTTATTAATTTTTTTATTTTTCAATTTAGTCTTTTAATTTTTCACAATCTTCTTCTTTCTTCAATTAATCATTTATTTTAAGTCTTTTTTTTATCAAATTTGAGTCACATGCTCCTAAACCATAGTAGAATACATATGTACTTTCAATTCCTCTTTTTGATAACAATGTTTTCATTTTTCAATTTAGTCCTTCAATTTTTCATAATTTCTTATTCCTTTAATTTGTGATTTATTTTAAGTCATTTTTACTAAATTTGAACCACATGCTCATATACCACAATAGAATACCTATGTAACGTTAATTATTATTTTTTAACTGAAGATATTCTATATTTTTTATTTAGTACATAAACTTTGCATTTTACTCAATTTGGTCTTTTGACTACAATTGTTTGCAAATTCTTTTTTCTCACCAATTCCTTGACTCATTTATACTCTCATCAATATTTTACCCTCAAAATTCTTTCTTTAAAATATAATATTATGAATATATTTCATAATTTTAGATTGTATTTGATATATTAAATAACATTAAATTATGAAATATATATATATATATATATATATATATATATATATATATATATATATATATTATGGTTAGATAAAGTAAAAAAATTAGAACAAATCATTGCCATAATACTATAAATAATTATAATACTTGAATAACTCGACTCGAATTTTTTAAACTCGACTCGACTAAAAAAAATTTCAAGTTAAGTTCAAGTTGTAAAATACGAATCGTCAACTTGAATAACTCAAATTTTTTGACTCGTCACCCCTATATGTTTTACCTTTTTTCACAAAAAAAATTATTGTATAGATATAAATTTCGATACCTGATTTTAGTATTGAGGTTGACTAACTCACGTCCATCAAAATGAAGGTTTGTTCGGTAAAATTTGCTCATTAGGCAAAATTGGGTCATTAGGCCAGGTAGGGTATTTAACTGGCCCATGAGGTCAACAAGAATTTTATTTACGGATTATGACAAATGCTATAGTGAAAAGTAAACTCGTCATGTCCATGTGACGAGTTTATCCAAAATAAAATTTAATTGGTCTCAGGTAAGTGGGCTCGTAGGGACCAATATTATAATATATTTCTCATAACTCGTCATCTTGAGTTGACGAGTTCCTTTAAATTTTAAAATCAACTAGCCATTTATAGTTGTTGGACAACAAGTAGAAGCACCAATTAGAAGCAACTGTCATATTAGAACTCATCATCTCGACGTGACGAGTTCCACATAATTTTTTAAAAATATAGTCATTTATAGTCGTTGGGCTAGGGGTTATGAATAGGGTTTGGGGTTTAAGATTTTTATTGTGTATTGTTAATATGAAAAAAATCACTCTTGAGATTTTTTTTTTGAAGAATTCTTGAAAATGTCTACCCGAGATGAAATGTTACGCGTTGGTGTTGTCCATATTTACTCGCTCGAACTTACTCCGCAAGAAGAGCATGGCATCCTTCAGTGATGAATGACACTTAA